GATTTCAAACCATGTGAGCAGAAATGCTACAATAGGCTCATTCTTAACCTCTGGTGCTTGAATGGTTCAGTTATACACAGCTGAGACCTCCTCATTAATCATATGCATTCCTAATTATGTCTCAGCATTTAAAGGACCATGGGTTGACTGAAGCTGGCAGAAGAAGATTATTAGCAGGCTAAGCTACATTTAGAGCGGATGATGAGTATTTACATCTGAGATTAGGTTTTATTTAATACTCCTTGAAGTTGTCTTTGAAGCAGTGAAAGGCACGAAGCGAACTTCCCATCAGAGATCGCCAGGAGTTCAGATTATGTTACACAAAGCAGAAACAAGATATTAAAAAAGGGAAGTTTGGTACAAAGCAGAAACAAGATATAAAAAAGGGAAGTCTTGAAGATGGATAGATACATTATAGTGCAGCGCTCACCCCCCCAACCACAGTTGATCTATATGGGTTACAAAAGTTGAGAGGTTTATTGTTATATTTCATATAAACGCAGTTATGAGCTTGATTTTTCCAAACCTTCATGAAATCACTCCTTACTCTTTTAACTTAGCTGTTAGCTTAGCCCAGTTAAACTCGATACCTTGAATAAGACCAACTAACCATCACTTAATTTGAAAGCAGCTTTACTGCTAAATTCTTATTGAACATTCAGTCATGCAGTACTATTATCATACACTGCATTTTTAAAGTAATGCAGTGTGCAGACATTATTTATCAATACTATCATAAATATCTATATTTATCAATACTATTTATCAAAACCATTATCAATACCACATTCGATCACACAGCAAGAGAAAGGACTAGAAGGGGGATAGGAGTTTAGGTCACCTACAACGCTCTGCCCCACCACCCTGTTAAAGCAATTAAAAGAAAATAGAAAACATCTGTGTAACAGTTACACTGTATTGATTTTGTTCCCTACACTGCTCCTCATCTGCATTCTTCAGCTTACACACCTTCTACTCTTTAATGCTGTTCTGTTCCTAACCTGAGGAAAGCTTCTGGAGAACAACTAGTTCTTAAAAATAGTCAGAGAGAGCATATAAAATGCAAGAGGAATAAAGAAACAAGTGTGAAAACTCACAGATCCTTCTAGACCTACACTGAGCCTCAGAGCCAGCATCACAGCCCAGTTTTGGGACTGCAGCTGGTTTATGACATAAAGAGTGTACGTGGAGCAGACACAAACTTCTCCATCTTTCTCTCTTCAGTCCAGGAGCTGGACGTTTCTCTCCTAGTCCCTTACACATTTACAGGCTTTGCTACTCAAACAGAATGGCAAAGTGTTTTCCCTCTTTTGCAATACTTTGATTAAATTCCCGCAGCCAAACAGGACCGAAATAAAAAAAAAAAGAAAAAAAAAAAAAGAGTAACGTTTTCACATTTACACAGTTTGCTCAAAAGCCATCGAAATAAGGAAATGCTATTACATAAGTGTGCAGTTATGTAGCACTATATGCCAGACGCCTACTGCCAGAATTAAAAGGGGCCCAACTTCAAGTCAAACCTCCCATGACAAGAAAAGCCTCGGTGAACCACCAGGAGCTCGTCTATTGAGTGGCTCCGAGTCTAAAAATTAACCAAGAAGCACAAAACCACGCCAGATAATTCAACTCCACGAGCCTCACAACACAACAGCTTCCAAAAAGAACCAAAAGAGCCTCGCAGAGTTTCACCTCTCCTGAAAAGAGCTGTCAGGGTGCTTGAAATCCACAGTCCTTCTTATCCGTACAGGGAAAGTATAGGATCTATAGCTCTAGGGGCCGTCCTATCTCCACGGGGGAGGACGGCTCCTCTGACTTCTGAGAACGTCACCTCTAGTGACACAAGCTCTGCAACAGGCAGGAGGAATCACCCACCTCTCTGAGCTGAAAGCAGCAGCCCACGAGGCACAGTTTGCCCAGTTTCAGAGAGATGACACCCATCCGCATGTCCAAGCTGAAGAGCATCTTTGTTTTGTGGGGACTGGCTACAAAACAGCCAGAAGGTTGTTGTTTTTTTTTTTTTTTTTCCATTTGTTTGGGTTTGGTTTATTTCTTTCTCCTCAGGAGAGGAGGTAACTAGGATATCAACCAAAACTTTAAATGTTTATTGTTTTTGCATGTATTTCACATACACCAAAACCATACCACACACAATAACCTTAAAATTGTAGGTCAGATCAGTTACGTGCTTCTGATTATTATTTTATTTAAGGCAAAAAGACATTAATTCTCTACTATCATCTTAGTTTTATGAAGTCTTCACAAATCTAGTAAGTAGGCTTTTTTTATTCTATGTTCACACATCTCGGTCAATAAGATAAAAAAGATGGGGGGGGGGAATTTTTTCTGTTATTATTTTTAAAAACGGTGCCAGGCGAATCACAACACACCACCTCGTCTCCCTGCATCTCCCGGTGAAGGTGTGACAATTTTATGGCTGGGAAAGCTGGCAAAACGGGGGTGAGAGGATGCAGCAGAGAGCACTCACGCCAACTTCACCGGATGGGTGGGGGGCACAAGCTCTTTGTTCAAGCCCATCCATCCTAAAAACGTTTTATACAACCAGCAGCCGAAGCACAAACTTCCAAGAAGCCCAATATCCCAAGATAAAGGTGTCAGCATAAAATAAAATTGCATGGCTGGTGCCCAAACCTGCTTTCCAAAGCTCCTGGGGGACCTCGCAGCTCCTGCCTGTTCCAGCCAGCGTGTTAGTAAGAAACTTACATCCCTGCACTTTTTTTGGGGAGAAAAACAGCCAGGTCATGTTTAATCCAGGGGGGAAAAAAGTCCCAAGTGCTGATTCACAGCACGCTCGCTGGCGGGGAGTTTCTTCTCCAAAACACATCAACTTGGGGGGGGTGAGGG